AGCCCTGCACAGGGCTTAGGGCTTAGGGTTTAGGGTTTAGGGTTTAGGGTTCAGGGTTGAGGGTTTAGGGTTTAGGGTTTAGGGTTTAGGGTTTAGGGTTTAGGGTTTAGGGTTTAGGGTGCTTTGGGCTTAGGGATTGATTGAGTTTAAGGGTTTTTGTCAGTTTACTGCAGGGCGTAGGGTTTGGCGTTGTATAGAGTTTTGGGTTGAGGGTTTTTCGGGTTTCATTGGGTTTACTGTAGGGTTTGGGGTTTACGGCGTTGTCTAGAGTTTAGGGTTGAGGGTTTATTGAGTTTAGGGTTTAAGGTTTAGCATTGTATAGAGTTTTGGGTTGAGGGTTCAGGGTTTAAGGCTTAGGGTTTAGGGCCCTAAACCCTAAACCCTAACCCCAAACCGCAGAGAAACATCGAAGAAGCCCCGAAGACCCCTCTCAACCCCTAAAACCTCCTTAGAGCTTTTTTCTGAGCTCATTTGAGTTTAAAGTTGAGGGTTTGAGGTTCAGGGTTTAAAGTTTAGAAATTGGGGCTGAACCCTAAACCCTAAACCCATAAACCCCTAAAACCTGAGCCCTAAACCCGAAACCCTCAACCCTGAACTCTAATTGGGTCTTGGGGCTTAAGTTTTAAAGTTCAAAGACACTTCTCTGAGCAGACATCTGCTTAAACACTCCGATATAAAAAGGTGCCCCGCCTTGCCAAAGAAGTACTTCGTCCTGCGCTCAAAGGCTTTCGGGTCATGGGTTCTATAGAGCTTTGAGTTGAAGGCTTCGAGTTCCATGGAGTTTTGAGTTTAGGGTTTAGGGTTTAGGGTTTTGGGTTTAGGGTTTTGGGTTTAGGGCATTAGGGTCATAAAAGATCCTAGTCTGTCAGAAGTCCTCCATGCCTAAACCGCAAACCCCCGGTTTAGGGTTTAAGTTTAGGGCTTACACCCAACCCTACACCCCAAATCCCAAGCCAAACTTCCTAGAATCTAAACCAAACCCGGAACCGATCCCTAGACAAATCCCGAGCTCTCCAACCTTTGTGTTTAAATGAGAACCACAAGCATAACCATGAGTAGTCACCCATCTGTCTACATAGGAAAATACTAGTAATCCGTGAAGCCCCGGTTCTAAAGCAAGGATGCGGAGTTAAGCATATGATCCCTCGCGTTACCCGTTCAATTCCGTTATAAGGATCGGCGTCTACTCTAGTCAGAAGTCTAGCGCATGGTTGCAAGCGGCCACTGGAGAACTCCTCGTACCGCCCTGAGGCCAGTACCAACAGCCCTACATCTTGAGCCCAAAGCTAATACCCTAAACCCCAAACACCAAGCTTAAGCCTAAACCCTAAACCCTAAACCCCTAAACCCCAAAACCCTCCTGGACAGCTAAGTTCAAAGGCTGAGGGCTCAGTGCTCTGCAGTCAGAGGCAGTTCTGAAGCCCCTGACACACCCTGCCGGCGGCTGCACGACTGACTGCTGCCGATAATTTGCTGTTCTCAAGCAGACACAGCCGCTGTCTATATATATATATATATATCATAGGTTCAGGGTTTAGGGTTTAGGATCGTGTATATATATCTATATATATATATATACATATCTATATATATATATGCACACACACACACACAGTTGCAAGCATACCCCGGACCAACCACGTGGACATGGACTCCGACCTCCTTGGCTGCTAAGACATGAAATAGGAACTGCAACAAGGTTTTGGGGGCCTGATGAACAAGTTGTTGAGAAGAGTCGTTTTCGTGACAGAACGCTTCGCGGTGGTGGTGGTGGTGGTGGTGGTGGTGGTGGTGGTGGTGGTGGTGGTGGTGGTGGTGGTGATACTGCTCGCGACAGGAACCACACCAAGCAACTTCCGAAGGAGGTTGTGCTGCACCGGCACGAAGCGGTGTTTGCTTGCACGACCATTTCTTGAAATGCTTCGTTTGCTACTCGCAGCTGCTGTTCAGCTGGTTTCGCACGCCACTGCTGTCATCACCAGAGTGAACACCGCCCCAGGTCACAACAGAACCATCCCTAAGGATCGCAGCAAAGGCATACCAAGTTGCTTGAATCTGGTGCACATTCTTCAGCTGATCTCGCACGGCGCTGCTGTCACCGCCGGATTTAGCATCGCCCCAGGACACGACGGAGCCGTCTCCCAGGATGGCAGCAAAGGCCTCTTCGGTTGATTGAATCTCCAGCACATTCTCCAGCTGATCTCGCACAGCACTGAAGACACAATTATAGTTACTACGGCCCCAGGTCACGACGGAGCCATCGCCACGGATCGCAGCAAAGGCAGAGGAACTTGCTTGAATCTGCTGGACATTCTTCAGCTGATCTCGCACAGCACTGCTGTCACCACCGCACTCAACAGCGCCCCAGGTCACGACGTAGCCATCCCCAAGAATCGCAGCAAAGGCACGCACGGTCGCTTGAATCTGCTGCACATTCTTCAGCTGATCTCGTACTGCACTGCTGTCACCACCAGAAAGAGCAGCACCCCAGGTCACGACGGAGCCGTCCCCAAGAATCGCAGCAAAGGCATCACTAGTTGCTTGAATCTGCTGCACATCTTTCAGCTGATCTCGCACAGCACTGCTGTCACCACCGCGGGCGGCATCGCCCCAGGTCACGACGGAGCTATCCCCCAGGATCGCAGCAAAGGCCCACGTAGTTGCTTTAATCTTCTGCACATTCTTCAGCTGATCTCGCACAGCACTACTGTCACCACCTACGGCAGCATGGCCCCAGGTTGCGACAGAGCCATCCCCTCGAATCGCAGCAAAGGCAGAGGAACTTGCTTGAATCCGCTGGACATTCTTCAGCTGATCTCGCACAGCACTGCTGTCACCACCGGACTCATCATCGCCCCAGGTCACGACGGAGCCATCGCCACGGATCGCAGCAAAGGCATACCAAGTTGCTTGAATCTGCTGCACATTCTTCAGCTGATCTCGCACTGCACTGCTGTCACCACCAGCAGCACCCCAGGTCACGACGGAGCCGTCCCCAAGAATCGCAGCAAAGGCCTCATCAGTTGCTTGAATCTGCTGCACATTCTTCAGCCGATCTCGCACCTCACTGCTGTCACCACCACACTCATCATCGCCCCAGGTCACGACGGAGCTATCCCCCAGGATCGCGGCAAAGGCCGCCGCTGCGCCGCATATATCGACCCTTCGAACCTGCAAAGTTAGTGGCTCCTTATATTGCAGCCTTGCCTTCTTTAGCGGCACTCCTTCATCAAGAACACTTCTTGTGGAGTCCACGAGCCGACCTTTGCCGGCTCCCAGGGTTTTCTGCGCACGCACCCTCAGCGATGCCACGCATTCGTCCTCGTCTGTCTGAAGTGACACAGTCTTGCCGCTGAAAAGGCTTACTTCAACCGTCAGTGACATGATCATGACTCCAGCTTCAGATCAATCCATGGCGGAATTCCGGTGCTGTGTTGCGTTGAGCCGCACGCAAAGGATGTAGAGGGTTTCGGACTGTCGTGTAGGCGGTTCTCGTTCCCGGGGCTGGGTCTGGGTCCCCACGACCCCTAAATCTTGCCATGGGAGGGAAGGATGCGGCGTTCAATCTGACTGCTTGGTGGCTTCTGTTCCTCTCCAGCTGCGATTTGGGGTGCATGCTTTCTTGTGCTTAGGGTTCAGGTTTAGGGCTTGAACGTCTCAGTTGTTTGAAGCCCCAAACTCCATAGCAATTGGGGGTACAGTGAAAGGTTCCGGGATGGGCCCCTAGCGGTGCCAGTGTTCATGCTATCTCTTAACACTGGTGTCACTACCTCTACATTCCCGAAGCGGCTACGACGACTTTCGCAACCTCTTGACCTCGAGTTCTACATAGGCCTGGACGTTAGCCCGCAATCGGAATTCTCGGGTTCACATGGGTTTAGGGTTTAGGGTTTAGGGGTTCAGGGTTTAGGGTTTAGGGTTTAGGGATGGTTCACGCAAACGCTCACAGATTGCATCTTGCAGAACCCCGCAAAGCCAACCTGAGAAGCTCGAAGCTATTGGGAAGCGCCACAGCTTCAAACAGAGCCTGACACATGGGTGGTTGTCAAAATTATGGTCCCTTGCTTATTATAATACGGCACCTATTATTTAGGGTACCCCAAAAAGGACCATAGCTTTGACAACTACCCACATTGCAAGCAAGTAAACTCCGCCTCATATCCTGATGGACCTACTGTCAATCATGCTCCCGAACTTAACCCAGAAAGGCAGTCCGAAAGCTGCCAAAATCTCCCAAACCTTATACCTTAAACCCGCCCAACACCCTAAATCCTAAACCCTGAACCTTAAGCCCTAAACCCCTAAACCCTAAACCCTAAAAGCCTAAACCCTGAACCTTAAGCCCTAAACCCCTAAAGCCCTAAACCCTATATTCAGGAGGGAGCTCGGAAAGGTGCCCGGTGAAGCG